AGATGGGAAAAAGAAAGAAGCAAATAGCAATGGGAAAGAATGAGATGGGGAAAAGAAAGAAGCAATGGAATGAGATGGGAAAGAAAGAAGCAATGGAATGAGATGGGAAAGAAAGAAGCAATGGAATGAGATGGGAAAGAAAAATGAATGGGAAATGAGAATGGAAAAGAAAAAGCAATAATGAGATGGGAAAAAAAAGAAGAAGCAATGGAATGAGATGGGAAAAAAAAAAAGAAAAATGGAATGAGATGGGAAAAGAAAGAAGCAATGGAATGAGATGGGAAAGAAAGAAGCAATGGAATGAGATGGGGAAAGAAAGAGAAAGAAAAACAATGGAATGAGATGGGAAAGAAAGAAGCAATGGAAATGAGATGGGGGGAAAGAAAGAAGCAATGGAATGAGATGGGAAAGAAAGAAGCAATAGAATGAGATGGGAAAGAATGAGATGGGAAAAGAAAGAAGCAATGGAATGAGATGGGAATGGGAAAAGAAAGAAGCAATGGAATGAGATGGGAAAGAAAGAAGCAATGGGAAAGAAAAGCAATGAGATGGGAAAGAAAGAAGCAATAGAATGAGATGGGAAAGAAAGAAGCAATGGAATGAGATGGGAAAGAAAGAAGCAATGGAATGAGATGGGAAAGAAAGAAGCAATAGAATGAGATGGGAAAGAAAGAAGCAATGGAATGAGATGGGAAAGAAAGAAGCAATAGAATGAGATGGGAAAGAAAGAAGCAATGGAATGAGATGGGAAAAAGAAAAAGCAATGGAATGATGGGAAGAAAAGATGGGATGGGAAAGAAAAAGCAATGGAATGAGATGGGAAAGAAAGAAGCAATGGAATGAGATGGGGAAAGAAAGAAAGCAATAGAATGAGATGGGAAAAGAATGAGATGGGAAAGAAAGGGAGATGGGAAAGAAAGAAGCAATATGAGATGGGAATGGAATGAGATGGGAAAAGAAAGAAGCAATGGAGATGGGAAGGAAAGAAGCAATGGAATGAGATGGGAAAGAAAGAAGCAATGGAATGAGATGGGAAAGAAAGAAGCAATGGAATGAGATGGGAAAGAAAGAAGCAATGGAATGAGATGGGAAAGAAAGAGTTTCACCAATTTTACAAGTTAAAGAAAATAACTTTGGCACCTCTTCCTAGGCAGAAGTCTAATGAAGCATAATGAAATACAGTTAACATCTGGATAAAGTTGAAACTGAATCAGTGAATCTGTAAGGCTTCTAATATTTGTTCAACAAGATTGACAGTAATAATTTGGAATTTTTATCTCTCTCTCTCTCTCTCTCTCTCTCTCTCTCTCTCTCTCTCTCTCAAAAATTACATTTTTATTTTACTTTTTTTTATCTTGTCTTACTGTTGAGATGTTGTGAGTTCCCGCGTGTCGGTGTATGAATCAAGACAAACACAGTTGTAGAGGAAAATACTGGTATATTCATAAAAGCAATTAACAATAGAGTGATTAGTAGAGCGAAAGGTTGGTTAGTAATGAAACAATATCCAAAGTCTATAGTCCAACGGTATGTACCCATAAACTTATCTGGACTGCTGACGCTGACTCTCTCCCACTCGCTCCCCAGAGCTGACTTATATAAGAGGGACCAGTCCATTACTAGTTAGAATGTGGGTGCGCCCCAACACTTACACTCTTCATTTTTCAGCTGTAGTAGCAATCATATACCAGTGTTGGTTATAAATTACCATATTTAACAGTGTATAAGACGCACCCCAATTTCAGTAAGGCAGATCAAGTAATTAGTAAAATTAGTAAATGACACAGCCTAGGCTATATTTATAAAGTAATATTTTGTTTAAACAAGCCATGATTACAATTAAATGAAAAATAATAGGAAAAAAAGAACACAAGCCTATAAAATCTTTATTATATCCAAAGTTAAGAAAACAAAATAAAAATTAAGCAATTATTACAATTCAGCAAAACAGTACAGTTAACATTAAAATTCAGTCAAAAATTTTTCTTTACCTTATCTGTACAACCTTCATCTTGTAAATGTCTTATTGGAATAATTAGGATATAAAAATTCTGATTGTATTTATACCAATGAAACCGGGAGTTATCACAAGAAAAATATTAATGAAACAAATATATTTTACAAATATACAATTTAAATTTATTGCATATTATTTTAGTGAAACAAAGTACTAACATTAAATGTGATGAAATTAATATAATGAATATTATCAATGATAACACTTTTAATCTGCATAATAGCTTTTAAATAATGACAATAGGTATATGAAAGTTAGTATAATGTGTAATCTAATAGGAGTTGCCAGGTAGCTAATTTCGGCTATCACGAATTTTAAACCTATATATTTCATATAAGATGCAGTTGAATTTTAAAAGATATTTTTAATAAAAAAAAAGTGCGTCTTATATGCCATCAAAAATGGTAGTTAACTTTTAAAAATAACCAGGAATTTTAATGCATATACTTTATTCAATGCCATTATATTTTGAACAAAATTTGAATCTTTTTAAAATGAAGATAATGTTATTATTCTTATATTTTTAAAAAAAAATTACATTTTAAACTATTTTTTAGTTTTATTTATTTATGATGTTTTACTTACTCTGTTCTTCATTCAAATTTCCCCTCCTACATTCTTTCAAATTCTCCATCTGTTTTTATTTACTATTACTAATGGGGATGGCCTGACTTGAAAAATAACAATCTAAAATCTTAGCTTTTGCCCACACTTAAAACTGAAACCCTGATGTCAACTGACTGCTATGTCAACTAAGTCAAAATTATTTGAATTCTTGATTAATGTTAATGGGAATATTAGCTATTTCCTTATAAGAAGGTATTTGGTATTCCTTGACCTAGTAGCCAGTTAAAATTTACAAAATCTTTTCAGGAAAATAGGTTTCTCAAGTCCACTAGCTTTTATCATTCATTCCAGTATTGATAGGAGTTTCCTTCCTAACCTTTTTATTAGAAGTGGTGTAGAATGCCAACATCTTGATTATGTTGTTATTTTCTCTTCAAGTTACATATACTATGCATTTTAGTTGTTGCCACTGTTGGTAGTCCTCAAGTGATGTGGTTTCTGTTATTTGGTACCGTTCTTTGTTTGTGACTCTGTAGTGCCAGTCTACAAGGTTAAAAAAGAGTAATATTCACTAAGACCTACAGACTTCATTCACTTGAAGACATTTGATCTGATATTGTATACAGCTGACAGTTTAGATATTTCTGAATGTGTTTGTCACCATGCATGACCTTCATATGAAAGTCTTGATCGGACAAGGCTAATTGACTTGTCTTTCTAAGTGAAATGGCTGCTATATAGTAGCAAATGCCAGACAATTTTCTCACAGATGAAGAGAAAACTTGAGGCAACAGAGATGTGCAATTATAGAAAGATGCTGAGAATAACATGGATAGAACATGTGCACAATGAGGAAGTGTTAAAGAAAATGGAAACAAAAAGAACCTTTATACCTAAAACAAGAAGGGGTTCAAATTTCTGGGACACATAATGAGGAAAGAGGGCTTGGAAAATTTGACACTCCCAGGACATATTGAAAGCAAGAAGGGCAGTGGGAAATGGCTAATAACCTACTGAATAAGCTGGTTTAAATAGATGTCAGAACAAGGACTGGGAGGAGTAGTTAAGAGACAAGCATTACTTAGAGTTACATAGGATAGGAAGTTGGGGGGGGGCAAAATCATCCACGTCCTCAAAGAACATAGCACAAAAATAAGATTTATTTTTCTACACTTGGTATTATTTTATTTGTAAATTAGCTTTTGGATGAATTAATTAAAAACTTATAGACTTTCAACATGCTGGTATTTTTGTTGGGTAAATTTCAAAATCCATATTTTCACATATTGCAGTTTGTACGAGTGTTACTTGTCTTCTTGTGAATTTTTTGCTTTAGCCTAAAGAAAGCAACTCACTCCTGTCTTACAGAACACCAAAAATAAATCATATAAACAAAACCTAAACCAAACATTGTAAACATGTATGCTACCCAAATAGCGTAAGAAAAGAGAATTAAGAGAAATGAAAATAAAAATAAATAAAAAGATTTTGCCAAAAATGTAATTCGTACAAGAAAAAGTCAACAGACGATAAAGAAGAAAAAGAAAAAGATGAAAATAAAGAAAAGTAGGGGTAAGATAAGTTAATTGAAAAACTGTAGGAAAAAGATGTTAAAAAGGAGAGAAAGAAAACAAAATGGTGGAGGATAATGAGAAGACAACATCAGAGTAAAATATGGTGAAAATATAGGGGAAGAGAATTAAGAAAAAATAAGGTAAGATATGAAAGGAGAGAAAAGTCAGAGAAAGTATAAAGAGTAAATGTAAGAGAAAAAAGAATGAGAAAGCCAAGGAAATGAGTGAGAAGAAAATGTAGGAGATATGAAAAGAAAATAATAAGGAAAAGGACAGAGGTGTTGAAAAGGAAAAAGTGAAAAAGAAGAAAACAAAGAAGGAGGAAAAGATGAGAATGGAGAAAGAAAAAGACAAGAAAATAAGGAATAAAGAAAAGCAAGTGGAGAAAGAGTAAGAAAGAGAAAATCAGAAAGGAAGAAAAGATAAAGATAGAGAAAGAGAAAAACAAGAAAGAAAGAAATGATGGTGATAAGAGAAGGGCAGGAGAACCAGAAGGGAAGAAAAGAAATATTTGGATGGATTAAAAAAAAAGAAAGAAAAAGGAAGAGTAGGAAATGCAAAAACTAAAAAAGAAAGAAGAAAAAGGAAAAGAAGGAAATCAAAGAAAAAAAGAAATATAAAAAACAGGTATGGAAAATATAACATTGAAGATGAAAAAGAGAAGAAGACAAAAGAAATTATGAAAATGAAGAAACTGGAGAAAGAAAAAAAAAAAATTTAAAGAATAAGGAAAAAAAGAGGAAGAGAAGAAAAAAGGAGTAAGAGGGGGAGGAAGTAAGAAGAGGAAAAGAAAAAATTATAAAGGAAGAGAAGAAAAAGTAAGAGGAGGAAAGAAAAAAAAGTTAAGGGGAAAAAAAAAGGATAAGGAAGAAAAGAAAAGTAAGAGGAAAAAAAAAGGTAAGGAAGAAAAAAAAAAGAAGAAGAAAGAAAAAAGGAGTTAAGGGGGAAAAGAAAAATGAGGAAGAAAAGTAAAAGGAAAAAAGAAAAAGTAAGAGGAAAAAGAAAAAAAGGATTAGGAAGAGAAAAAAAGTAAGAGGAAGAGAAGAAAAAGGAGTAAAAGGGGGAAAAGAAAAGTATGAGGAGGAAAAGTAAAAGGTATAGGAAGAGAAGAAAATGTAAGAGGAGGAGAAGAAGAAAAAGGAGTAGGAAGAGAAAAAAGTAAGAGGAAGAGAAGAAAAAGGAGTAAGAGGGGGAGAAGAAAAGTAAGAGGAGGAAAAGTAAAAGGTATAGGAAGAGAAGAAAAAGTAAGAGGAGGAGAAAAAATGGAAGAGGAAGAGGAGAAAAATAGAAGAAAAATGAGTAGGAGGAGAAGAAAAAGTATGAGGGGGAGAAAAAAAAGATGAGAAAATATTAAAGAATGACCCTGCATATCTTGTAAGGATTGTTCCAGCAATCATATGACCACTTTGATAGCTCCAATATTCAGGAGACTAGAATGCTGAGTCCAGAGATGTTTTGTCTATGATTTTGGGGGAAATATAGGTTGGTCCTGTCAGGTAGTACAACTACAGGATAGAATAACAGTCACAGTAAAAGATTCCATGGTATATAGGTATGTTTCCTCAGCTGTTACAAAGATATAGGACTATTCTAAACACCGCCCCCCTACACCCAAAACTGTTTGGTTACCAATCAGGAAAAAGGGCTTGTATGCATGGAGACTGGAAGAGAGATGAAGATAAACAATGATGTTGTCATCAGTTTTATAATTATAATATAAACAAGAAATGTTGAACTTATCAATATATATATGTATATATATATGTGTGTGTGTGTGTGTGCGCGTGTGTGTTGAATATAACATCAATCAGCTAAGTGACAAATATTATATCTATATTATTCCTATATAAAGAATATAAAACATATAAATTGCAATTTGCATGCACACATATGTATATATTTTTCCATTTTTCCTATTGTCCACCTAATACAAGGCTCAAGAGCCAGTCAAGATAGAGGGTTAGTGAATGAGGTGAGTAGTATGGATGTAAAAGGAGGAAGTGAAAATTGTTAAGATTGCAATGTTGAGAGAAGCATCCACATGGGAGTCTGATACATAAAGTAGCTGTTCTTTAGAATAAGCTGTGAGTGGAATTTCCTTCTTACAAATGTGAATGAGAGTAATTTGACCTGTGGATGTAGCATGCCAGGTCTTAGCTGTGAAGGTCTGAACTGATAGAACTAAACAATGGAGCTTGTTGGTACATTTACCATGGAAATAGCAATAGAGGGATGATAGGCTTGTAATTTTGTGTCTGTGGGAAAGGGACTGTAAGGTTGAAAATAAGTCACCACCCACAAGACCATGTAAACGATAATGAACACTGTCAAAGATGGAAAGTAAGGATTAGGTAGCTCCAGCCCAAATATGGTAGCAATACTAGCATATTTCACAAAGCACCAATATAGCACTTTGATCCTGGGCAGAGGTACTGTGATCACGTGGATGGCTCTAGTCTAATATTGAGTATTTTATCAGCAAAAATTATGTTAAATTTAATATACATTAAATTATATATTTACATATATTAATTGCTAACATTAATAATTAGCATTAATATTTGTTTGATTTTATAACACCAGCTGACAAAATTTGAAGAGGGATGGTCCTCACTAAGACCTACTGGCTTCATTTACTCAAAGCCTTTTTAATCACTGGTTTGAGAAAATGGCTGTATACAGCTGACAGATTAGATATTTCTGAACAAGTTTGTCACCAGGCATGACATCTATATGAAAGTTTTGATCTGGCAAGGCTATTTAAGAATAGATTTAGATTGAGATTTAGGTCAATGTTTTGGTTTTGTAGCAATGTGCAGTTTTGTGCAAAACTACCCCTAGTGTAGCCTATTCTATGTTCAATTTCCTTATCACAATAATAAATATATAAAACTTCCCCTGATCCTGAGGGTCTGTAGTCTACACAAGAGTTGAGCAGTTCTTTCAAGTAAATATATAGCAAATCAATGAGATGAAATAATTTTCTGTATGTTAAAATATTTTTGAAGATAGGCAAACACACACTAGAATGCTAGGCTGCATCATTGTAATCTACTTCATGTACTCACACTCAATATCATATTATAATTCTGCTTGTTAGTAGGTTGGCACATGCATTATGCCCTGCCATTGACTCAGATATATAATGGACCATTCCATTTTGATCGCCAGAAAAGATAGAAGAAAAAATATATCAGAGATGCTGTTTAGTTTTTGCGAGAAAAAGAATGCATACATAACTTATTATATATGCGTTCTTTTTCTCACAAAAATACAGCTAAGAGAAAAGAGGAGGTGATAATGCTCTCATGTGCTGAACGTCTGTTTCTGTGAAATGGAAAACCTTGCCAATTTTGAATCTTTTAATTTGTACCCTCTTACTTCTTTAAATAATGACCTAGATTCATACTTATCACAGTATTTAATATAGTTAAGCTTAAATATTTAATGATCCAATAGGAGAATTTCCATGGGTATAGTTATAGAACTTGCAAGGAATTTATTCATTCTGTTGTGAGATGTTAGTATGTTTGGGTAAATATTTATTCACCATTATGTTATGGGGGTTCAATACTTTGGAGAGTAAATATTTACAGGCTCCCACAAACAATATTGGCAGACTCAATATGAGTCCAAGTAAAAACTGTAAACACAAAAAAATAAATATAAAACAAACAATAATGTGTGTATTTACAAAAGGAATTACATGTGATGAAAGGAAAAAAACATGAAACTAGCTATAATAAGAATGTTTGTGTGTGCGTGTAACAAGCATGTGTGAGAGAATACAACCATAAAAATGTACATGCCCCAGTGGGGGACACTTTACCCACATGCAACTATATCTGAAAGCCAGAGCCAGAAAGCTGTAAAAAAGGCTAGGGAGAGAAATGCATGCTGTTTTGTAGGCTTAAGGAGTGCCCTCTAGCAATTTTTTTTTTTTGTCAAAGTCAAATGGGATAACCCACAAATCATTAAATTATGATTCATTTGAAAATTCAAATAAGAAAATGATGAAATTGTTACCAATACAGTCAGTAAATATAAATCTGGATACAATCAAGTATAAGTCAACCAGTTTATCATCTTAATTCATAACTTACCTTATCATCTCCAGCAATATATGCTTTATTATCAAGCCAATCAATACTAATTGATTTGGGGTGAACCACATTTGGATAAATGTTCTTTTTGATCTTATTAGAAGAGTCTGTGTACACCAAATTAACTTTTCCATCTGCATCACTAAAAAGGACAATTTTTTCTTTGATATGAACACCAATGCCTGGAAAGGAAAAGGAAATATTATCAACGGCTCAAGGTAAATGCATTGTAGAAACGTTAAGGAATTAATAATACTTAAAGATATAATGTTCAACTGATAATGTTTAAATGATAATGTTTAATGGATAAAATCAGGAAAGAAGGAAAATAAACATTTCTTTTAATTAGAACAAATATCTAATATGTAAATCAATTTAAAATTTTGATTTAAAGAAAATGTTAAGACAGTAAATAAATAAGCATAATAAAATTATTTTAAGAAAAGAAAGTATTTATCAAATAAAAAGCATTTTTCTGTCATTTTTTAAAAATTTAGATTTAATTTTGTTTATAAGGAAATAATTCATTAAGATAATTCAGAAAATGTTTTCATCAGCTGGTTATGATAAATATGCTAATTGACCAGATAAGTGTTTTCTATCAATGTAATTCTATTTTCACGATCAAATAATTTAACATATAATAATCTTTGTCTGGATGTGTGGGTATGGAAATTGGAACCTGTGAAAAATGTACAAATTCCATCCTATCTTGTTGTGTTCATTCTCACACTAATACCCTTAGAAAAGGCATGGACCAATTTCCTCTCTCCCATCAGCTAGGGGTTAAATAACAGCATAGACTTGGGTCTCCAGTTTTGGATGGTAACCAGTTGAAGAGATAGGGAAACTCAGAATTCAGAACCATGGAAAAGACAACAGGAAACCACTCCACTCTTTTCAGAGTTGTAATGGTAGAAAAGAAATGTGTGTCCCTTGTTGAAAGAACTTCACTACAGTCTTGACACCAAAATAGAATTACAAGTGCATATGTATGTATGCTTGAATGCATGGATGTGTATCTGTGCCTAACCTCGGATTGTTCATATGGGTGGGTTTGTGTGAAGTAAAATGCGTACACCTGTATGTATGCATGTCTATGTGTGTGAGAGTGTCATCCCAAACAAACACAGAAGAAAATTCCCCCTCCCACCACCAAATATAATCAAACACAATCATAAAAAGATACAATTTTAAAAAATAAACCAGTTTGTCTGATGATTGCAAAAGTGTGATAGAACTGAATATGTTAGCTTTATCACTGATATTGAGCACTTTCCACTAAGTACTGCTCATATAAAATATAAATATATATATATATATATATATATATATATATATATATATATATATATATATATATATAGTAACTATAGTCGTCTCGAAAAAACCTTTGAATTTTTGATTTGCCAATAATCAAATCAATCTCGAAGGAAAAAAAGGTTTTAAAAAAAGAAATAGCCAGGAACATGAAAATCTGTTGAAAAAATCGCACAGATACAGGTTTAAAGCCCAAAGAAAAAACCCCAACACGAGTAAACAACTAACTAAAAAGAGCTCAATACAATCGTAGAGCAGACCTAGTCAAACCTAGCCAGCTTTCCCTGATGGTCCACTTAGGTGAAACCTGGGTAGGTTTGTCTGGCTCACTAGGTTTGACTATATATATATATATATATATATATATATATATATAAAATAGCTCTAGTCTGTGAGTAGCTTATGGCCATATCACATTGAAACACCAGTTCTCATACAATCATAAAAGCAATGTCAAGCCTGGTCAGTACTGAGATGGGTGACTACTTGGGAATATTATGTGCTGTAAGCTTGGATGTGTGATTGGACATCATTGAGCCAAGTTCCAATTCAAGTCAGGTTTGTTATATTCACTTGTGCACAAATACCCTTGGGAAAGGTAGGAATTCACCTCTTGTTCCCCAGCTATGAGTTAATTAGTAGGACTTGTATCAGTATTGTTATATCCAAAACATTTTTTTAATCCAAAAATATTTTCTACCTTTAAATATCTTGCAAAAGGCTGATAAGCCTTAAAAGACAAATAAATCTATATAATCTAGTTTATCAGCAAAACTTGCATAATTTCCTGATCACTGTCAATCCCTTCAATGTACAACATATAAAGTGAAATTTGAAACTTGCCTCTACAAATTGTCCATTACAATTGCCAAATACGTCTAATTTTTCAAACTCATATTATGTTTCGTATATCTGTACTGATGTGATATACACAGAAATGTTAGTATCTACTTCATATATGTAGAGATTTTCCAAGCGTAGCTTAGATGTGGCACAAGGCTGAAAGTATGGGGCATCTAGTGAGGATCGAACTCACTTTTCAGTTGTAACTGATCTAGCGAGACAAGCTTACTAACCATTACACCACACCGAGGTGCCCTTACTTCATATATGTATATACTTTTTGTATTTCCTATCAATATATATAAAGGGTGTTCCAACAACTTGGACTGATTTTAAATGTGAATTAAGTTTAAGCATCTAATGATTTTTTTCTTTTTCTTTTAGAGTAACAACTTAAGTCTTTGATAATTTCAACCATGGAAAGATTAACAATCAAGCAACATGTTAAAGTTTCAAGAGTGCAATTGGAAAAATTGTTCATAAATTCAAACAAACTGGGTCGGTGGCAGATATGAAAACACCATTGCGTGTTTGTTTACGCTGTTCAGCTGAAAACATTGCTGCAGTGCATGAGAATGTAGCCGAAAATACAGACACCTCTAATCATCATTGTGAACAGGAATTGAACCTCTCCATAACAACATTATATCATTTCCTATTGCACTCTCAGTTGGTCGATTATGTTGACCAAAAAAATTATGAAGTGCACAAAATGCATTTCTGTTTGAATGTCCATTTTCATGATAGGCTTTGATAACTTTAACACATTGTTTGATTGTTAATCTTTCCCTGGTTGAAATTGCCAAAGACTTAAGTTGTTAAATATGAAAGAAAAAGAAAAAATCATTAGACATTTAAACTTAATTCACATTTAAAATTGGTCCAAGTTATTGGAACGACCTATACAACCATTGGAATGAATCAAAACCTTGATTTATAATAAATTGTACTTGTCAGATATTACAGGTTATATCAACATCTATTTCTATTCATGATGGATTAAAATCCCTGATAACTTCCAGTATGATACTTATATTTTACTTTTCAATAAAGTAAAAGTAAAAAGTCATTCTTATTTGTAAATAATATTTTATAGAACTATATCTCCAAATCATAAAAATCCTCCACTGATACCAACAGTTTTCCTAAAATCTTCTCTCATGCAGCATCAATAAATATTCAGTTCTTGTAATGATGTTGTTAAAAAATTGCCTCACGGTTATACAAGCAAAAAGAGATATTATTGGAAGTGATGAGTTGACACCAAAGCAAAAATATTAAAAGCAATCACCTCCAAGGGCAAACTGTTTTAGCAAGGAAACAAGTTAACACATCTAAGTACTGTTATTTAATATACTTGGATCTAGTTTAAGCCTGATAATTTGATTTCAACACTGTGCAATTCTCTTTCACTTTTGGCTTGATATCTCTGCTTGTCTCTCAACCCCAAAATGCTAAAAAAAAACCCAAAAAACAAAAGCTGCAGATTTTTGTGGGTTAATGAATCAAACAAAGTTTGCAGCTGTTTATTCTTAACTTTTTCCTAAACTTAAATTTTTTCTTACCAGAATCTATCTTACACATTTATAAATCTAGCATTCATCCATGCATTGAATATTGCTATCACATGGTGTTTCTGCTATGTCTCTAGAGATTCTTGACAAAATCCAAAGAACCTGCAAAGTTATTGGTCCTGACCTAGCATTTTGTTTTCAGTCACTTTCCCAACACCATAATATAGCCTCCCTGTGCCTTTCCTATAAATATTTTCATGGTAACTTTCCTTTTTGGTACCTTAACTTTATAAAGGAGGCATGGTGGAATAATGGATAGTAGCTCAAATTGAGGAATCAGAGGACCAAGTTTGAATTCCAGTCGAATCCATTACATTCACTTACGTGCTAATACCCTTGGGAAATGTATGAATCCTTTTCTTTTCTCCTCCCCAGCTATGGGTAAATAGCAGGACAGACTGGGCTCTATAGCTTTGGATGGCAACTGGGCTACTGCAGAAAGAAATGGCAACCTGCTGCAGGAAAAAATCTGCCTTGTCAGTCATGTATCAAAAGATACATGATCGCCTAAGCGTGTATCACGCATGGCACATAATTGACTGAAGTACAGTATTAGATTGAAAACTAGGTCTTACCATTTTACAGTTGAAATTAATAGATGCAACCATAAGTTTTATGCTAACAGTTTCTTCTCTTGCACTTCTTGCTTATGGAACTCTCCCTGGCTTTTTGCTTTACAGCTAAAAATTTAAATTCAATGTCAGTTGTCATTTTCTACCTCATTGAATTTTGTTCATTATTGTCTTTCTCCTTAATAAATGATTTTGACCCCTTGTTAGCTACAAAGGATAGAAAATTGTAGAGAGCCATGATTGCCAATGTCCAGTACATAGAAGACAGAGTAAAAAATTGAAATTAAATAGGATATGCTGCCATACTCAACAATGTAAAACAGACAAAATGGCTCACAGACAAAGCCTCAATATACAGAGCCAAAATCTCAGCTATTGATTTAGCATTTGACATAACAAAAACAAGAAATTCATCATTTTCACAGACTCCATGTTAGCACTTATAACATTAAAAAAAAACAAGAAAACAACAAACCCACTAACTGTTAAATTACTAATGAATAACTAAATAGAATGGAACAGCTCTTGAAACAAAAGAAAAGCATCAGACTGGCTGGAACAAAGCTAGTAACATTTCATCACCAATGAGCAAATCCTAAACCTGAACCGATCCTGATGAGTAGTCATACCCTCAAAGAGACTCGTTGCCTTGGACACCTGCTAGGTCTAAAGCTCACCTCTGACCTCAAATGGAATGCACACACACACACACACACACACACACACACACACATACACATATATATATTGCAACTATAGCTAAATATTCTGGAAAAATGGTTGGTTCTATGAATCACTCCAGCCTTGGGCCTTATATTGTATGAATAATAATTTTTTTTTAAATTCTTAAAATCAGTAAAAATACAAAGAAGG